TTCTTATCCATGACGACTATCTGGCCACCTTTGTCGGCCTTTGAAATGATAATATCTGGGTTAGAATGAATTTCGCGCATTGTAGCTCTTTCTCTCGCAGTTAGATTTGGTTTCAAAGGTTTATTATTGAATTTCACATTATGAGCGATAAGATGCCTAATCATTTCTTTCTGTGAATCTGAAACTTTACTGAACTGTCAGTTCAGTAAAGTGTATTATTGTGTCTCAATTGATGGTATTTGCTGATGTACGCATCCAAGTGTTTTATCCTTGAACACCCAAATTCCTTGAAGTATTCTGAAAGTGTATTCAAAAGCATCCAATTTTTCAAACACCTTGGTATTTCTGATAGCCAAATTCCCTTTGAAATTTTTGCTCCCCAATTTTCTTCTTTCCTTCTACATTTATTTCCAGTGCTCACCACAAGAAAATTAAGATATTTCTATTATTACACATCCATAAATTTTGCATTCTTGTCATTTTTTTTTTTTTTAAATATCAATTACATCAACTGCATTTCAGTTGAAGACAACTTTTCATTTTAGGCATTTTAACTATAAATAAAGTTTAAAGCAAAGTCCAAGTGATAAATACTTTAATTAAAATATTTTTTGTTAAATGACAAAGAAATAAAAGAGTCCAGCAATGTTTATTCTGTACCAGAGTGACCCGATTATTATATCGGCTACAAATAATCTAAATCATATTAAAGATTATGTTTTTTTATACAATCTATAACACGAGAGAAAATTAGCTGCTTAAAACGTTCTTTCGAAGAGGATTAATATAAAAATTTATACTTATATATATAATTTTTAAAGCTGGGACGTGACCCAAACTATCAACGTCCTATTTTGCTTAAAAACGTTGTAAAAATAAACATCAAATGAACTTTCTCACTATTAGATAATTCAATTTAAATGCAGTCAATGTAAAGCAGCAGACGATAACACGACGAAGGTAAAAATTTACTCATAATACAGTCAAAAACTCAGTCAAGTTACAGTCAAATACTCATTTAATACAGTCAAAAGTCTTTAATTCGGACTCGTCGGGACTTTGGCGATTCCGGACTTTCGGTTTACCGGATTATAGATCATCAGTTTAAATCTGGTAAGATGGCATGCAGAAATTATAAAATTTAAAATATGAAACCGTAATTTATGAAATAAAGAGAAATTATGATCTAAAGGGTATCAAAATTTACAAAAAAAAAAAAAAAAAAAAAAAGCTTAATATTTATTTGTTTACTTTATTAAACATTTCTTTTAACGCGCATGCGTAAAGCATACATTACGCATAGTCGAAATTAGAAAATTGCAACCAGAAAACTATTTGATTTGTATTCGTGATATTTATAATGACGAGGAATTTGATTTAAATCATATCAAAGACGAAGTACATCGACATGAAGTACTACATTTAGTAAGGAATTATAAGCCGAATAAAATAAAAACATTTGCCCTGAAGATAAGGATAGTGCTGACGGATCAACTTCTAGTTAATTGGGCTCCGCGACAATCCCCCCCCCCCCGGCAGAGCAGCGTGAAATTGATAAACAGATTTTGGAATGGTTAGAGAAATAAAGGATATGCCTTTATCCATTTTTCGCAGCAATTCCACTTTTTGTTTGTTGGACATCGAAACATGCTTTTGCTTTGTAGATCCTTTGGCAGCTCCAGAATCGGAAATTCATTTTGACATAATCGAAAGTTCAAGCTTACTTTTATTAAATTGCTCTAACAGTCTGCGAAAAATAATAAGCCGGATCCAATTCAAAGATTATGGAACAACGCAATCTGCAACATTAACTGAAATGGATAATTTAAGCTTAGCTTATACCATCCGCATGCGTAAATGCATATGCGCACATGTAAAGGTATTATGCGTATGCGTAGATGCATGGGCAGAAAGTTTGCAGCTTTGAGGTCCGGATTATGGATGTCCGGATTAAAGACATTTGACTGTATTACAAAAAGAAAAAAAAAATTAAAAAACGTTAAAAATTTGAATAATATCTGTATTTAAAAAAAATAGCTTTTCATATAGCATTAATAAATATTTATTACGCATCATTGAGGGAAAAATTTCATATAATTTATTCTGCCTAAAAATTTATTTGAAATTTAAGGTTAAAAATAGCTGTGACAATTCACTGTAACAGCAATCCATACACTACATTTGGCGTTATTATCGCTAAAAAAAAAGATGCCAAATTTCAAAACGCGAAAATATGTAAATTCGTGTATGGCTTAGAAAATTTTGAATAAAAAACTCTTATTTTTTTTGCAAGTATGCTTAGAATTACACCGACTTTAAGAGGTTATAATTCAAAATTTTTTTCGAAAAATTTATAAAAATTATTTTAAAATAGAAATTTTAAAAATAAAGCACAAAAAATAGGTGAACTTTAATTGGAATGAACCTAAATTTCGAAATGTGAAAGGAAAAAAAATAGAGTTTAATAAAAAAAGAGATATTAATAACTATATGCCAAATTCAATTAACGTTTATGAGCTAAAATTTTCAGAGCTAATTTTAAAAACTACTCGTATGATTTGTACAAAATGTGGCAGTCTGGCATAATTTGAGTCATAGAATCGAAATTTGTAAAAAAATTGGTATATTATTTCAGAAAAAGTCCAATTTTGTGTAGTCCAATGTTATACAGTCAAAAGTCTTTAATCCGGACTCGTCGGGACTTCGGTGATTCCGAATTATCGATTTTTCCGGATTATAGATCATCAATTTAAATTTGGTAAGATGGCATGCAGAAATTATAAAATTTAAAATATGAAACCGTAATTTATAAAATATAATGAGCAATTATGATCTAAAGGGTATCAAAATTTACAAAAAAAAGCTTAATATTTATTTGTTTACTTTATTAAACATTTCTTTTAACGCGCGCTTGCGTAAAGTATACATTATGCATAGCCGAAATTAGAAAATTGCAACCAGAAAACTATTTGATTTGTATTCGTGATATTTATAATGACAAGGAATTTGATTTAAATCATATCAAAGACGAAGTACATCGAGATGAAATACTACATTTAATAAGGAATTATAAGCTGAATAAAATAAAAACATCTGCCCTGAAGATAAGGATAGTGTTGACAGATCAACTTCCAGTTCATTGCGCGCCGCCAAGTTCCCCCCCCCCCCCGCGCAGAGCAGCGTGAAATTGATAAACAGATTTCGGAATGGTTAGATAAACAAAGGATATAGCTTTATCCATTTTTTGGAGCAATTCCACTTTTTGTTTGATGGACATCGAAACATACTTTCGTTTTCGTAGATCCTTTGGGAGCTCCAGCATCGGAAATTCTATTTGACATAATCGAAAGTTCAAGCTTACTTTTATAAAATTGCTCTTACAGTCAGCAAAAAATAATAAGCCGGATCCAATTCGAAGATTAAGAAACAACGCAATCATCAACATTAACTGAAATAGACAATTATATAATTTTAGCTTATACCGTCCGTTATGCATTAAACGCGCAGCAAAAACGTATTCTGCGCTTGTGCACATGCAAATGCGCAGTCGTAAAGGTCTTACGCGCACGCTTAAACGCCTATGCGCATGCGCAGAAAGTTTTTAGCTTTGAGGTCCGGATTATAGATCATTCCGGATTATGGGTGTCCGAATTAACGACTTTTGACTGTAATAGTGCTACGGTCAAAAGTCGTTAATTCGGACACCCATAATCTGGAATGCTCTATAATCCGGACTTCAAAGATACAAACTTTCTGCGCATGCGTCGCATTGACGCATGCGCGTACACGCGTATTCGCAGACGCTTGACGCGCACACGCGTATTCGCAGACGTAAGACTTTTACGGCTGCGAATACACTAATTTGTAAAGGATCTACAAAGCGAAAGTATTTTTCGAAGTCCATTAAACAAAAAGTGGAATTCCTGCAAAAAAGGGATAAAGGCATATCTCGATTTCATCTCGATGTACTCCGTCTTTGATATGATTTAAATCAAATTCGTCGTCATTATAATTCGCTTCCAATAGCGAAGAAAGTGACAGAGGTTATTGAAAATGAAAAAATTTCGATTGACAAATTAGTCGGTATTCTCGGAACTAAAGCGGAACTTTGTAACTGAACAAGAAATCATGTCTGTTTATAGAATTAAAGAGAATGTAATATCACATAAAAAACGAAGCAACTTAAACAGCTTACATTGAAAGAAATGTTTAATAAAGTAAACAAATAAATATTAAGCTTTTTTTTTCTTTTTCTTTCTTTCTTTCTTTCTTTTCTTTTTTTTTTTTTTTTTTTTTTTTTTGTAAATGTTGATACTCTTTAGATCATAATTGTTCTTTATTTCATAAATTACGGTTTCATATTTTTAATTTTATAATTTCTGCATGCCATCTTACCAGATTTAAACTGATGATCTATAATCCGGAATCGCCGAAGTCCCGACGAGTCCAGATTAACGATTTTTGACTGTATATATAAATCTGATATACTTGTATATCCTAAGTCGCGCTTTCGAGTCATGAACAACGCAATTTGAATTTTGTCAATCGGCCCAGTATAGAATGGGAAATATAGAACTGTCCTCCCCTTTTTTTTTGCGCAGTGTACAAGTAGGATATTTTACCAATGAAGAATCAGTCTTTTGCCAATATTGATTAGTGTATATTTGTTTTGTTCCTGGAAATTTGAACGTAATAATCAGCTGAATTTATTAACCAAGAGTTTAATAAGCAGTGAGTAGTGTAAATACTTTTTGACAACAAAGCGCATTACCTCATGAATAGTTTTTTGCAGCTTTCTGGTAAAGATACAGACAATCCAAAAGTACTATTCCTTTTAATGAAGCAACTACTGTTATCATACTGTAATGAATCATTGTTTTTATATTGATATACAAAGAAAATTTTGTTTTATCATTGAAAGCTTTTGTATAACTTTATTAATGAGATATTTAATAATGTACAATATATTTCATACTACCGATGTTGTTTCCTGTTTTCAGCCTAAAGTAAAAAGAACTGGTTCTACTGTTATCCACCCAAACAGCAGAAAAGCTCTGCAGATAGCTCGGGAAGAGCATCGAAATTCGAGGCTGGAAAAGTATTTCGAATATTTATTTATATTATTTTCAAGTGTGATGTAATACTAAAATTGTTCTCACTTTTGCTGTTGCTAATTACAAGAAGTGATAAATTTTATAATGTTAAAACATTGTGCAGTTTATTTGCATATATGCATACAAATATTGTTTTGTATTATTGTTACTGGATTCAAATATGAATGGGACTGTTGCTGTTACAAGCCACCACCCATGCATAGTGCTGTGCATCCTTGGAATAGTACAGCTGCTATGTCCACCTTACCATCCTTGTAGATTAGAACTTGCTGCCTTGCAGCAGGTAACATCATGTTGTGATCACATTTCTAGTTGAAAAAAAAATTCCAGTCATCTGAAATTTAGCAGAGTAATCAGTATTGGAAAGAGTGCCTGTTTAGGATTTATGAATTTGTATGGTAAAAGTGCTTCATCGAGGAACGAGAGCATGTCACCCTGACAAACACTGATCTTGTAAATGTGGCTTTCTGAAACTAAAGCGTATATTTGGTAAATTATATGTGTGTTGACACACAACAACAAACTGATGCTTTTGCAAACTGCCAATTCTTTTGTTTGGGAGTTCAAAGTTGAAGGGGAGGCATTTTGTAAGACTATATTAACCATCAATGAAACATAGGTCCATTAGTCTCAGGCTTATATTCCACTTTAAAGGCTTGCTATCATACGTAATGCCATCACCATTAGTGTTTGAGAATTGATTCACAGCTAGCTAAAAACTAAGAAAGGGGTACAAAATGGCTTCCTGAACATTGGCAGAAGTATACTGAATCTGGAGATGAGTTCATTGAAAGGTGACATGTTCAGTTCTTTAACTCACAATAAAGATAAAAAAGAAAATCAGTCCTAACAAATTATGAAGATTCTAGTACCAAATGGAAGTCAAATTGAGAACTTTCTGTGAACAGGTGCTGTCTAAACATGTTAACCAGCTGTGTATGCTAATGTCAAAAATCAGTTTTATTAAAAAGGCTTCTGTTACATTCATATTTTTATAAAAAAAATAATGTCTACCTAAAGTTGGTTTTGGCTAATTTAATAGCTGTGAATGATTTTTTTCTAAATGCAGGCTCACTTAAACATGACTACAAGTAACTGATGTAATGATGATGGCACAATTTGCATTTCATAATGAAGATCCAAATAGATGCTTCTGCCCTAAATCATCTGTAGTAGAAATGCTACTAAATTGCGTCAGTATAAAGTGCAAGATGTGGAATCATCTTGGCATTTTAGATTTTAAATATTTCTAGATTTTAAATCGTTAATTTAAATCTAGTAAGGTGACATATAAAAATTATAAAATCACAAGTATTAAATGCTTATTTAATAATGAAACATGATCTCAAGGGAATGAAAATTTACAAAAAATGCTCAGTGTTCATGCTTATTTTGTTTGGTACTATTCAGTTTTGAGGGCCGTAAAAAATTGCAGTGAAAATATTTGCACAAAAGCGGCAAATCTAGCAAACGCGCCCATTTAAAAAAACACCGCACAAAATCTAGCGTACGCATTGATTTCAGATTGCATAAGTTTATATAGTTCTATATTTCTTAAGACGCCATTTCTTAAGACATTAATAGATCATACTAATTTAATTTTTAAATCCTTTTTTGATATCCTATGGGTTTAACAATTTGGGAATTGCCATGGTGAAAAGTCAGCAATAGAATTTTGGGTAAAGTGAAGAATCACCTACTGCTTGACACGCGTTTTTAAGAATTGCACATACTCGGTATCCATGTGCACATTGACCTATTTTCACAAAAAAAGTCCTAGAATTGCACAAAAATGGCACTGCGCACACCCTTGACTTTATCTATGTACACATCGACCTATTTTCACTTAAAAAGTAAAAGAAAATTGACAAAAATTCAATTGATTTTACCCTTGTAAAAAGCGGCAAACAAATAAGTGAGCGGTTCTGCACTTTACCGAGAATATTTTCAATGAAAAGGCATCATTCATTATAGAAAATTACGTTTGAACAACCAACGAGATGAAATTATGCTTTAGCGATAAGTCGGTAGTGAAATAGCGATGCAGGCATCCATTCAGTTATGTTTAGCAATTTTTATATAAATTATAATAATGATCTGAAATAGTTATTTACTCTTATGCTTCCATTCAGTCATGTTTAGCCTTTTTCATATAAATTATAATAATAAAAAGTATTATATGAAATTAACTTTTCATCTAAATTAAAACATCAATCTTAGATAGTTATTTACTATTATACTTCCTTTCTTGCCGCAATTATTAGGGTTGCCGTAATTATTTTTGGCAGCATTGGCATCAACAAAAGTTTGGCGATTTTTTATGGTCCTCGAAACCAAATAGTACCTTTTATTTTTATTAAATATTTCTTTATAAAGTTGTAACAGCACTTTGTTTCTCTTTTTTCCTCCTATTAATACTTTCTGTATTAATTTTATGGGGAGATATAATTTCTTGGTCATTTATTAAGTTCTACCATTAAGCAATTTACTGTGATGAGATTTCTCACTAAATATATGATATATTGTGACTAAATAGATGATTAAATTCTCTTGATTCTTAACAACCTCTGTGTCACTTTCAGTTGTGGCATTTTTTTTAATTTAAAACTTCAGATTTGGCTTTCCATTGATTGATGATCAGGACTCTGTCATTGCATTGAAGACATACTACATACATTGCATTGAAGACTACATTGTTTTTGTACTGCTTCAATGATGCATCCAATCCCATGCATTTTTCTTACTCTTGTGTTCTCGTCATGTGTACAATTAGTATGTTTTTGCTAAAAAAAAAAAGAGAAAAAAATAAAAAGAAATAATAATAATAATTTAAAAAAAAAACAGAAAATTGCACAAAATTGTTATTATGCACCGGCCATGATCATCATCACAAAAGAACTGTCGAAATTTTAATGTATGCTCCACCGAAACTCCTCTGCATAATGAAGATAAAAGAAGGCCAACTCTATAGTTTCAGTACAATTCATTATGACAAAAACAAATGTCCTTTGTAAAAGAAGTGCTATAATCAGAAAAATAATCATTAAGTTTTAAAGTGCAAATCCATATGTGCTACATGCATACCTGGGTTGCCACATAAATACTACTCAAAAAGTACACAGTTTCTCAAAAATAAATAAATAAAATTTTATTGAAGGTCTCATTAATAGATCATTCTGGTTACTGGATATCCAGATGTTCGACTTTGTACTGCATAGTAATCTATTTGAAATGCTAAGATGTTGAAATATGGAAATATAGAGCATTTGTTGACCATAATTTAAATCAAATCATTCCTTACCCCTATAAATTAAAAATTTAAGTTATTTTACCCCCTTTTTCTTCTGTCATTTTTCAGGTTGTATCTTTTATCTAAGTTGATAAAAGGGGTTCTAATTTATGTAGCATTCAGTTCATGCAGTTTAACAGTTAAACTGAGAAATTTAGTTGATGACTTATTTTTATCTGCTTTATCAACCTGATATGTCACTTTCTGTTGTTGTTCTCCCTTTTTTATTTGTTTAACTTTCTTGGTGTTGGATCTTTGCAATTTCTTTTGAAATTAGGACTTACATATTATTAAAGATGGCATTTTTAAGGATGGAAGGCAAAATGTATATGCGATTTATGAAATCAGATTACTTTTCTATTATTCTTAAATCATGCTGCATCAATAACATAATAGAGCATAAACTCAAATAATTTTAAAAATAGAGGTGAGAAATTATTTTTTTAAATGCTTTTATATTTTATGTAAAAGAAGTTTTGTGCAATAGATTTATTTAATGAATGAAATGCCTGATATTTTTACTTAGACATACTTTTGTTTTCTATCCTTTCTTATTAAAATTATATGAACAACTGATTCTTATTAAAAATGTATAAGCTCTAATTACAATAAAGTTACAATAAAGAAATAACTAAATGCTTACCATAAGGTTTTGATTATCTTTCATTTTATTAATAATCATCTTTTACACTTCATAGAATATTTATTTTTCACGTAATTTGTGCAAATATTTATTCTTTATATTAATGTTATGTCAAATTGTAGGAGAAGAACTGAATTGAGCCAGAAACAACAGGCCAAATGTAAGTGATTTTTTATCTTATCTATCTATAGGTATGCTGTATTTATTATTTTATATAATCTGTGAATGTTTCTAAAGCTTGTTTCTTTTGTGGCAGTGGTAAAAATGGATTTGCATATTATCCCTTCAACAATGAAATTGTCAAAAAACATTGCAATTCAGCCTGATGTTTCAACACATAAAATCTGCACTTTTGTTTGATATAACCCTTATTGATGCTCAGTAAGCCACCTTTTGTTTTTATGAACAAAGATGTAAGTTAATAGCTATTGTTGTAGCTTTTTCTTGCATTTTGGAGGAAGAAAACATTTGAAGGCTATAGAATTGCATTCATGACTGCTGACAGAATTAAGATCTGTTAAATGGAAAAAAGAATAGCTGATATGGCCCAACCAAAGATCAGGACAATCATCTGTAGAAAGTTTTCATCCACAGCGTTCTAAATAGAGATTCTGGTAAAATCAGAATGCCTGACAAATTAGTATAGACATCGACAAAAGTCATTATTATTATTTTTTTAAGTATAAAGATAAAGCAGGTCAAATAATTCTACAGCAGTGGCTGTTTGGTAAATTAGGCTGAGAGACTGATAAATATTTTATTGCAAGAGTTGCAGAGATAAGTGCAACTAAAAATTTTGTGGGGGCAAGCTTTCCATCAGCTTTTATGGTTCGATGGTAGCCACTTTTCTCAGTAGATGGAATAATACTTAAATGTATAAAAAAACAAGATCTAAAACTTTCTTCTCTTCCCTCCCCACATAAATATTTTGATATATTTGAGTCATAAAAAGAATGGAGAGTGGTCTGTTAGTTATGCGCTGTTCTATCTGTAGAAAAATAATATTTCTGTATTATATTTATGTTTTATTTCAGTAACTTCCTGTATGTGTGGATTTTCAGGAATTAAATAAAGTATCATGATGCTTCTTGAAATGCTGTTGTTCAGATGTGCAAAGATTATAATACTTTCACATAAATTATTTAAATATACTGTAACATGTAAACTTATTTTAGCTTTACAAATAAGAGTGCAGATCGTGATGATACAAGACAAATTCCGAAGTGTTCTTGAGGTCTTAAGGTAAGATAAGAAATGTATCGTGAGAATGGCATGCCCAAAATTTTATAGAATGTGAAGTAAGTAAATCTAACTGGAATAAAATACAAGTACATGATGAGTTCTTTTTTTACCTCTGAAAAATTGAGTCTAATCATGATGAGCAGTGTGCAGCTGTGATGTGTTGCAGTCATTTGCAGAAATCTGCTACAGAAACACATGAAGTATTGTAACTAACATATGACAAAGATATTTTGATGGTTTAAGTGGTTTAAGGAATTCTCTGTTCCATTTTCATAGCAAAGTGGAACCAGTTTGGGTGTAACTAGTCCCTTTGTGAATGACATTGTGATAAAAACAGCTGATGTTATTTAAATAATTATGTTATGTTATAATGTTATTATTCTAGAATAGTGGCTCAACCTTTCCTCTCTTGCTTACCCTTAGTAAGACTTAGTAACGCAAAATACCACAAACTTCCCCTTTCTGAACTGTGACCCCTTTTGACACCTCCTTAGAATATTTTCACAATACATATTATTTTTAATAACATAAAATTAATAGTCTGCATTGAAAAAGGTCAGAAAAATATAATGACACAAAAACTGATTATTACTTTCTTTACTTCCAGTAAATAGTGATAATGATAACATACACTTGAAATGAAACATAACAGTATTACTGACAGTGTACTTTAATTATTTTTCAATATGAGCTTATTTAAAACGGAGGTGAAAAACTTGGTGAATTTATTAATTTATTGATCATTGATGAGATCTAAGTCTGTATTAAAACCGTTAGCATTTCTGAAATAATATTATACTACGATAAAATATTAAACCTTTAAAGTGATAATATATAATTTCACACATACTAAATTTAAAATAAAAATTGAGGCTCAGTCTTGAAAGGTTCAATACATTGGCACTCTCATCACCACGTACAGAAAAAAAATAAGCAAAATCATCAGACATGTCTATGTTTCTCCAGGAAATTATATTGTTTGAGAAGAGAATGCTGATTATTTTTCGAATATATTCTTCTAACTTGCATTGAGCAGCATCATATTTTGAGCGGTTATATAATTTTTATCACTCTTATTGATGTATTTTTCTATATACGATTTATTATTCTGTAAGTCCTTCAATCGTATTACCATTGCTTGTGTTTGCTGATAATATATAAGATTTTATATTAGGACTTATATTCACTGAGAAATGTTAAAATTTTTGTTTGTAACTGGTTGTCTGCTGGTTTCTAAATAATGCAACCATAACAATGGTTTCATACTTGTGTTTGATAAAACTTCTCTCACGTTTATAACGTTGCGCGCCTCTAACTAGCACGCAACCTAGAGGTGACTGTGAAAGTTTGTATAAACCACAGAGTCTTATAAAGGGTTTAAGTCCCTTTTTATTCAACGTACTCAATTACAATTGCGTCCTCTTGACGCTTACAAACTATGCCAACTAGGCAGTCAAAATAAAAATAATAACCTGAAAAGAAAATAAAGACAATATTCTAACTATGAGGCTTTCTAAAATAACTAACTCACCGCGTTTTACAAAAGCCGCAGCTAATTCAGCAGACTTGAAGCTCACTGGAACAATTGCAACTACTTCCCGCCAAGCACATAGGCCGCAACGCGGGGTTCTTTAATTCTCGATTTCTACCTCCGCGCTCGCGAAGTAAGAATAACTCTCTCTCACCGAACTTGTTTCCTTCTATTTAAATCATACTACTTCCGCTGATAATTTGAATGCTTGCGCGTTCTACTCAAATTTACATATTCTGGCATTGGCAGTTCCAGGGGAAAGTAAGGCTTGACAAGAAAGATAGTTTAAACTTAAAATAAATGTTAGTTAAAATAAATATAAACCCTACACGTTACACAAAGAGAATTGAAGCTGTCTGTATGTATTGTGATTAAAAATTCATACTGAACATGCATAAGAATATTTTCTTTTCTTCTAAATACAAATTGCTGAAATTATTTCAAAAAGTCGTTGGGAGTATTCTGACATGTGTAAACTTAAACTTTCTTATTAACCACCAGATGATGCCACAAGATGTTGAAAATACTCAGTATTCTATGTATTAGAAAGCGTGGTAATCCTTGGAGAACAATTTATTATTTGGATACTTATTGATATATCCTTCCAACATCACAATTGTACTGATACATTACTAGAATTTTAAAGCATTTATAAATCAAGTATGATTTAATTTTGATGTCACTAGTAAATGTATCTGCTGTATGCTTTATTAAATTTGAGGATATTTATATCATACTCAAAGTTCTACTTTTAAAATGTTATGTAAAAATACTGAAGTAATTAATAGTGTATCTTGTAATTATTTGGCATTTTATTTGAATAAACTAAATTTTTATCTCTTATGATATTTTGCAGTAAAGAAATTCAAGTGGTTCAGAGATAATATAGATGTTAAAAAACTTGCTTATTCTTCAGAAGATATAAAAGAATTACTTGATAGGTAAAGTATGTAATAAAGATTAATCAAATTACTTCTAATGTGAATTATACTGTTCTGATACAAAATCTTTCTAACTTGATGGTTTCATTATTTGTAAACAATGTACAGTATAAAGTGTAAGATCCAGACACCCAATATCCAGAATGATCTAAAATCCAAACCTCAAAACCACCAACATTTTTTTAGCCCAGAAGGGCTATTAATTTTGTTTTGGCATTTGGTTCACCATAAATATTGTTCACTTTTCAAATTGTTGCCACCAAATATTTGAGCCCTGTGTTACATTTAAAGAAATTAAATAATGAAGAATCTGCCTAAATGTATGTATGTTTTTTGCATTGTGATAAAACAACGGTACCTAGAGCCATCAAATTTTGAATAACATACATCTAGATCGAATATGTGCATCTGGAAGCCTGAATTCGGAATTTGAAATTTGTTTTATTGTTTATTTCATATTTTATAACACTTTAATGAATTTTTATTAACAAACTCAACGATTTCAAAGCAAGCAATGGCAACACTCTACGAAGGGGAAAAGAAAAAATTATTTCCAGCGCACTAGATTGTTTATCGAAAATTCTAAAGATATGCTCATTTAAAAATTATTTTGCGATATTGCTGCTGAATTGAATTTTATGGTTTAAGTGCAAAGAACATGATATTTAATAAAATAAAGGTAACACACAAAACGTTAAAAAGAGCGCCTCTTTGGGCGTAATGTAAAATCTGAACGCTTTCAGATTTTATATTTTTATTATTTTTTGTTATTTTTTTATGAATTTTTGTTTTATATGCTTTACAGGTATGCATTTGATTCCCCTCCCCCCGGTAATAAAACATGTGGAGAGTCCATTCTTAATTTCACTTCGGCACTGAATAAAATAGCTCGTTATTCAAAAAACGGTCATTTTGGTATAAATTTGTGTGATCAATAATTTAGCCTAATATTTTATATCCCTGATACCAACCTGGTGAATCATTATTATATTTTGCTTTCTGATTTGACCCAGCTTATTATTTTTTGCGGGCTGTTATTATTACAGCAATTTTATAAAAATTAAAGTTTGAACTTTCGATTATGTCGAAAAGAGTTTCTAATTCTGGAGCTGCAAAAGGATTTACAAAACGAAAGCATGTGTCAATGTCCATTAAACAAAAAGGAGAATTGCTAAAAAAATGGTTAAAGTTATATCTGTCTTAAAATTATGTGAAGAGTATGGCATTGGAAAGTCAACTGTTTATGACATAAGAAAACAGAAAAAGGAATTTTTTGTGATTCCGACAGCCTACTTGCAATGAATAACAGAAAAATTATTCGTTATGTTAGAAGTCTTGACAAAGTAATGATTGAATGGGCCAGATAACATCCCAGTGAGGGCATGCTATTGACTGATACAGTGCTAATGGCTCAAACCAAAATATTTCATGAAGAAATGAACTTAAAAACTGAGTGAACATATTCAACAGATTGTTTAACCAAATTTAAAAATCTTCATGGTATAAAGTAATTAAAAATTTCAGATGAAAGCTACTGAACTATTTGCAGATTCATTGAACTCATTATTAGGGAAAAGTTATCTCCAGAACAAATATACAGCACTGATGAAACTGGTCTTTTCTGGCAATATGTACGAGGAAATACTTTGCCAACCTCTGCAGAGAAGGCTCCAACTGGTGTCAGAGATTCCAAAGCGAAACTAACAATTTTAGCATGTGCAAATGCTGCAGGAACACACAATTGTAAACTTTTCATAATTGTAAAAAATACACGAGCTCGAGCATTTAAAGGCATAAAAGATTTTCGTATTATATATCTTGAAAAATAAAAAGAGCATGAATGACAATGACTAAATTTCTTTAAATTTGGATCTTTCTCATATTAATACAGATAAAAGTCTTTAATCCGGACATCCATAATCCGGAATGATCTATAATCCGGACCTCAAAGGTACAAACTTTCTGCGCATGTGTAAACGCATAATGCATTTTACGCATGCGCATAATAGGTTTATGCATGCGCGTTTAATGTATAATGGATGGTATAAGCTAAGCTAAAATTATCTAATTATCTATTTCAGTTAATGTTGTAGATTGCGTTGTTCCTTAATCTTCAAATTGTATCCGGCTTATTATTTTTTGCAGACTGTTAGAGCAATTTTATAAAAAAGTAAGCTTAAACTTTCTATTGTGTCAAAAAGAATTTCCGATTCTGGAGCTGCCAAAGGATCTACAAAGCGAAAGCATGTTTCAATGTCCAACAAACAAAAAGTGGAATTGCTGCGAAAAATAGATAAAGGCATATCGTTTATTTATCTAACCATTCCGAAATCTGTTTATCAATTTCACGCTGCTCTGCCGGGGGGGGGGGATTGTAGCGGCGCCCAATGAACTAGAAGTTGATCTGTCAGCACTATCCTTATCTTCAGGGCAGATGTTTTTATTTTATTCGTCTTATAATTCCTTACTAAATGTACTATTTCATCTTGATGTACTCCGTCTTTGATATGATTTAAATCAAATTCCTCGTCATTATAAATATCACGAATACGCATCAAATAATTTTCTGTTTGCAATTTTCTAATTTTGACTATGTTTTACACATGCGCGCGTTGAAAGAAATGTTTAATAAAGTAAACAAATAAATATTAAGCTGTTTTTTTGTAAATTTTGATACCCTTTAGATCATAATTACTCTTTATTTCATAAATTACGGTTTCATATTTTAAATTTTATAATTTCTGCATGCCATCTTACCAGATTTAAATTGATAATGTATAATCCAGAAAAATCGATAATCCGTAATTGCCGAAGTCAGGACGAGTCCGGATTAAAGACTTTTGACTGTAACAGAATAAACTTAATGGTTAATAGCTTTGTGTTGGTCATCTGTAAAGCCTATGATATTTATGTTTCAAATTTAATCAGAAAACTCATTGATATAAAATAAGTATGTTGCCACTTGATGAAAAGTAGTGGAAAGATGGCACTTACAGGAATCAAATTTTGAACACATATAATCCTCTGTCTGAAGATGGGCAGCTCAAAGCCTGAATATGGAATTTTTATTTATTTATTTTGTATTTTGTGCAATTGTAATGAACTTTTTATCCAAAACTCAGTGATATAAAAGCCTTATGTTTTCGCTACTGAAAAAAAAAATATATATATATATATATATATTTTAAGTTCCATAACAAAATGTGTTGCCATTCAACAAAGCATAAAATTTTTGGTTTGGAAATATAATCTGTTTTGTTATTGCTATTGTTATTAATTAACAAATTAAGCAATTTAAAAGTAATCGGGGCAGTTCTTTATTATTCTTACTAGCTGGACTCATTAAAATCACTTGTATAACTATTCTACATAGTTGACCTAATATGTAATCTATAATATAATTATGGTAATATTAAGTGACTGAACTTAATAGTTATAATCTTAACTACTGCTCTGTGAAATTCACATTTTTTTGTCTTACGTGCTATTTAAAGCTTACACATTGCTTTCAGGTATAAATTGAGTTTTTAATATATGTTTCATAATTTACAGGTATTTCCAAAGATTTAAAGAGGAGGAGACGAAAATTGAGGAACAGAAAAGCATTAAAGGCCGGCACGTGTATGACCGAATATCTCATCAGTATAAAATTTCATTTCTTCCACAAAAAGAGAAAAGCGATTTTGAAACTTCTGGACTAGGTAATGATGTTTTACTAGAATGCTCAGATTGTATTCTTTAGTAGTTTGATGATCAAATATTTAAAATAGTAGGACCTGTTATCTGAGGTAATTGGGATGATGTTCAGTTTAGTTAATTGATAACTTAATTTGTAGTGACTAAATACTAAATCATGCTAATTTTTTTTTTTTTTTTACCAGGTTTTCTGAAATTGTTTATTTGAAATTATAAAAATAAGGTTACAAATATGACTGTTACTATTTTAATATTCTTTTATTGCTAGGTAAAAATTTTTGCCTTCAGACAGATTTTTATTTCATGAAAAAAATTGGAATGAACAAACTCTCTTAAAATTTACTGAAACTCTAAAATTTTACTGCATTTATTATTATTATTTTTTTTTTCTTTGAAAAAGTGTTTAATCTTCTTTGCGATGGTCTTGTAGTTGTATAAGCTACTAAACTTATTCTAGACTAACAAAAGACCAATAGGAAAAGCATCATGGCATTGCTTTAAATATTAAAGAGCTTTCCTCAAGACTTCAGTGCCTATTAGTGACCGAGTAGTACTCTGAATACTGGTAGTTCAAACTAGATTAAAATCTTGGCAAATGGGCTGGCTGCTGGGAAATTTTCATATTTTCCCGATATGTAATTAATGTATATGATCCTTTTCAAAGTCTTTCAAGGAAACAAGACTTGAGCACGTCTAATTTTCACATTTTTCATTTCAGCATCTCTCGATTTGTGCCACAAACTATTTCTTTGTCTCTCAAAACTTAAAAATTTTGTTCATTATTTTCTATGTTTTGAAATGTCATCCTTTTATCACTTGAAATAGATTCTCAGTTAACATTATTTTCATTTTTAACATATGTAAAGCACATTTTTCACCATGATGCACATATCAAAGCCATTAAATAATTACTGATAAGAAAGGACAAAAAATCAGACACTTATAAAATTTTTAATATTACTGATTTTTATTGTGTAGTGGCCCAAGTATTGCATGAGAAATAATTATTTGTTATTTCATATATTTGTTCATGTGCTTAATTATTTTATGAAATTAACTTTAATATTTTGTTAATATTCATATTTATATTTCTTTAATGCTGAATGGCAATAAGTAGTTCATATTTTTTTTAATAATATAAATTTTTGATTTACTGTCGAAATATCCCGACATTTCTAAACCTAACCTTTTTCCTACACAAATTAAACATTTTATTACGACTGATGGTGAACCCGTTTATTCAAAGGCATGACAGCTCGATCCAAAACGCTTAGCTATAGCTAAAGAGGAATTTAAATTTATGCTTGACTATGGAATAATTCGTCCATCAAGCTCCCAGTGGTCAAGCCCCTTGCACCTTGTTACGAAAAAGGATGGTTGATATCATCCTTGCGGGGACTACCGACGATTGAATGCGCAGACGGTACCTGATCGATACCCAATTCCTCGCATTGAAGATTTTCTTCATATTTTAAGAGGTACAAATATTTTTTCTAAAATTGATTTATTCAAAGCTTATTTTCAAATTCCCATTGCAGAAGAAGACAAATGTAAAACGGCTATCATCACTCCTTTCGGTTTATACGAATTTAATGTAATGAGTTTCGGTTTAAAAAATGCTCCTGCAACATTCCAACGATTTATTCACGAAGTCTTTAGAGGATTAGAATTCATTTTTCCCTATTTAGATGATATACTCATTGCATCCAGTACCCATGAACACGAAAATCACCTTAAATTAGTTTCGAAAGATTACATACATTTGGGTTAAAAATTAATGTTTCAAAATCTGTATTTTCTGTTTCACAAATCGAGTTTCTAGGCTACCTAATTACACCTAAGGGTTCCCGTCCTTTGCCAGAAAGAGTTCAAGCTATTACCAACTACAAACGACCAGAAACAATTCATGAACTTAGAACTTTTCTTGGAATACTTAACTTTTATTGTTGTTATATAAAGGATGCAGCGAAGAATCAAGCATTCTTACATGCGTATCTCAAGGGAGCTCAAAGAGGGACAAATGTAAAATCGAATGGACTGAAGAAGTTGAAAAACAGTTTGGAAAGTGCAGGAATGACCTGGTGAACACGGCACTGTTGTCTTTTCCCAATTCTGACCTACCTCTGGCGTTATTTACAGATGCTTCAGATACGGCGATTGGCTGAGTGTTGCAACAATACGAAAACTCCTCGTGGAAGCCAATAGCATTTTTTTCTAAAACATTAAATGATACTCAGCAAAAATATAACACCTATGATAGAGAGCTATTAAGCATATATCTTTCAGTTAGACACTTTAAGCATTATCTAGAAGGAAGAGTATTTACAATTTATACAGATCACAAGCCCTTAATATTCGCCTTTTGTCAAAAACTTGACAAAGCAGCACCTAGACAGGCTCGCCAACTTCAATACATCTCCCAGTTTTCAATTGATATCAAATATATAAAAGGTGAGAATAATATTGTAGCAGATACATTATCTAGGGTTAATGAAATTTCATCGATAGATTATAATAAAATAGCTGCTGAACAAACTCAAGATGAAGAAATGAAGAGTTTGCAACCACTACTTCCTTGAATTTAAAGCAATGTTCTCTACCTTCGGGGAAATATTTGTGGTGTGATACATCAACTAAACATATTCGGCCGTTTATTCCTCAAGCTTTCAGAAAACACGTCTTTCAACGAATTCATGGTTTATCACATCCAGGAATAAAATCGACTATGAAATTAATGACATCAAAATTCATTGGGCCTAACATAAAAAAAGATATACAGTTGTGGACAAGAATCTGCATTCCTTGCCAAAAAGCTAAAATCAGTTGGCATACCAAAACAAAATTAGGTGAGTTTGAAGTACCACCAGGAAGATTTTCTGTCATCCATATTGATCTCATTGGACCACTTCCCCCATCTAAAGGGAATATTTATTATCTTACTTGCCTAGATAGATTTTCGACATGGTTTGAAATGCAACTGTTGATGCAAAATCTTCCACACAGTTTTTTTGTGATATTTCGAGCATCTGGACAACAATACTACAAAATGTATGGAATGAGCTCAATTATCACCAAAGGGGCACATACTGAATATTTATATTGAATGTATTAGCTTGGTGAATTTGTGATTCTTTTCATATATCTTTCATGTGTGTACATAAAATGCTTTTGAAAATATAGCCTTCTCAAAATGAATGAGTCATTTATGCTAGTCCTGTATAAGATTACATACTTCATTTCTTTGTGAATGGTTTCCCCTTTTTCTTGCTGCTAATATTATAATACAGGTATCCCTCTAATAGTTTTTTACATGGTTTCACTGTTACACAGTAAGAAAATTGAGAAAATCTCATATAGCATGGTAACATATTTCCTTTCTAGCTCAATAATGAACTTTCGTAAACCCTCTTCTAAAGAAGAACACTGTTATAAAAAATCTACATGAAGTGTTAAACATGGTTTTTATTTTAAGCATTTACCAAACGATGTTACCTAATATGCCATCATGTTGACGCAATATACAATAACAATGTCTTTATTTCTGCACACAAGAATAAAATAAAATTACGGGAATACTTGCATTCACTCGCATCAAAATTCTTTTGAAATTGAAGTTGGGCCCATTATATACGTTGGTGTCTTATGCTCAATGTGTTCGTTGCATAAATTACATAACCAGGATTTTGAAAGAAACTTTTTGAAAAAACAATTTAATATGTAAGACACAATAACACGCCGAATAAATACTAATTCAGAAATCAAACAACAAAAATCAGCGTTATATTTACAAAGTTTTCACAGAAAGTTACAAAGTTTTTTTCTGTGAAAACTTTGTAAATATAACGCTGATTTTTGTTGTTTGATTTCTGAATTAGTAATTTAATATGTGTTTGCTTTGTCATTAGTAATTATTATGAAATTATATTTCAGTCCCAAACTATGTCTGAAAGGAAGAAAACAACTTTTAAAAGAAAATTTATTTCTTTGGAAATGAAAATATTAATTTCAATATATTTGTTAAAAGGAGAAAATGTATCTGATGTTGCAAAAAGTCTAAAATGAGGCAAACCATTTTAAAAACCATTTTACAAAACCATTTTAAAAAATCGTTTTTAATAATTTTGGAATGCATTCCTCTATTTCATATTGATTGTTAGTTTTGTATTACATGTTTTGACACAATACAGTATTTTTTAGGAATCTATCTACCTTGCTTTAAGAAGGATACCTGTACTGTTTCAGATGAAAATAGTTTTCTTTACACTTTTTCCCTGTACAAAGAGTATATTTCAAAATGGATCTGTTTGTTGTGTGACATAATATCGCATACTATTTCATTACTGTGCAAGTAATTTTTCATTATATTATGCTTATTATTATTATTATTATTATATTTCATTATATTATTTTTGTCTTGGTAATTTTCTAATATTTCATGTTGAAATAGTTTTTTTTATCTTTACCATCATGTGAAGGATGCAGTTAAACATGCATCTGGTTTGGTGTGCAATGTCATTGTGGTTTTCACTTTTTCATTACAGACTTTTTTCTCTCGGTAATTTCCTAATACTTTGTGTTATGTATAAAAATACTTTTCTTTCTTTTTTTCTCAGTATGAAGAATGGGTATATTGCTAGTGTAAAATATATTCCTTTAGAAACATGCTTGTATTCTTGGTATCACCCATTGTACGGACTAAATAGTTTCAAATGGATTTGGACCACTGAATTTTCGCAATTTTTCTGGTACTAATTTCCCAAAGAGGCTTGTTTCTGTAGTATGACATCATTTATTATCGGTACTAAGTAGTAAATGGATCAAAACCATTGAACATTGGGAAAAAATACCAAAAAGACAGATTTAACTAATTATGTGCAACTCTATAGTGTCATGCTATTGGATTTTAGTACAGCAGATTTTCAATATTACACATGATATTAGACTAAGGATAGTGTGGATTACAGGTCATGGCTTCCTGAAATTTGTTTACATTTTCCTGCTCTCT